CTCCGCCAACGTCAAATATCCATTTTGTATTTCCTCGTAGATGTTACAGTTTTTCATCTGTTCTTCTCTAGCGGAACTTGCAATTTATTTTTGTAAGCTTTATCAGAGTTTGACATATGGTTATTGGTCTTTTCATTTCACCAATCTGGGGCATTCAAGTTGAGGATTGATCTCTCAAAGTTCTGCTACTCTGGGGCATCATGTCAATGATGGTATGAACCCCATGAAGTCCTCTCGAGGAATTGCCATTCACTCTATAAGTTGCAGCTTGTCAGCACCAATGTGAGAGTCTTACCTCTAACTGTTGAATGTTGGAATAAGGGATTCACCACAGGGTTGCTTCTCCTTAGCATTGTCATGTGAGGGATTCTTGAGGCGAATAAGGTTTTTTGGATACCTTCATTCCCCAACCAAGTCTGGATGAGCATTATCTCTTTCCTTAACAGAGATTATTCCCAGCGGAGTTTATCTTCCAATTTGAATTATCGTTGAAGTTCACATTCAGAAGTTCTCTTTTTCCCATCTGATTTGTGAATTGGGGCATTTCTTTATCAAAAGAATCTGTTATCATCAGTAGGGTTGATGTTGGCTGAGATTTCCATATCCCCAGTAAAGTCAATATTGTTTAACTATCTTCATGGTCTATTTTACGATTGCATACCGAAGGTTCTAGAGTCCCCAGCAAAATACTCCGCGACAGAGTTTGGTATCCCCAATGGAGTTTTGTATCCTCAGTAGAGTTTTATTTCCCATAAATCTTTTTCAAGAGAAAGGCTTCGTTCTGAGACTTCAAGTTTGAAGACGTCGCATTCCCCCAGTGGAGTTGCTTAGATAAGAATCCGCAGTCTGAAGAAGTTTCAATTCCCTAATAGAGTTGTCAATCTTAGATTCCTCGTCCTGATCTCTCATTTCCCAGCTAATTTGCTGCTTGGGCATCCTTATTTCAGGATCTTTCCTTACCCTCAGTGTAGTCGTGTTGGTCGATTAGTTGAGATTTTGTTAATCTTTGGCAAACAGTAGAGGACTTTTCAAAGGAAGTTTCCCCAACGAGGGTTTTGATTCCCATATCTGGTTTGTTAGCTTTCCATCATCCTCAACATGGCTGCACACCGTCTTTTCCAGAGGTTACAGTCTTACCCTGATCTTCTCCAACACCAACTGATTTCTATTTGGCATCCTCCTTCAGAAGTTACAGTCTCACCCTGATCTTCTCCTGCAACGCCCAATCTTCATTTGGCATTCCTTCTTGAAGTTCATCAGTTTCGACCTGGTCTTCTCTAGCAGAATTCACAATTTATTTTTTCAACTCTTCTCGGTGTTTGTAGCCTGTTTCTACCGGTTGTTCAGTTTTTACTCCCGGCAGAGTTTCAGCTTTTCAAGGGTTCCTCCTCAACGGTTCCTTATATCTTGTCTTCTACAGCAGATTTTGCAAGTCTTGTCAGATTCTGACTTCTGGGTTATTAGCCTCTCGATTGGCCATTCTCCAGTGAAGCATTCAAACATGCATCATTACATTGCATCTACTAAATCGCGTAGCATTTCCATTATATGGAGCATTACACTATAAAAAAAATTCCAAACATGCTTCGGAACATAAGCCATTACTGTTCCTATTTATCCCCAGTGATTTGCTAATTCTGCAAGTTTATTCCCAGCAAGGTCTTCTTCCGCATTATATCAAGTTTCACCCCATACAAATATTCTTTTGATGTTAATCATTTGATTGTTTGAGTGTCTATTCTTGATTGTAGTCCAGTTTTGCCCTGACACACTCTTCTCGGGTTTAGTCTTCACTACCCTCACTGGTTCATTTTGATGTTTATTGATCTACCTTTCAAATACCAGTTTCATCCTGATATTCTCTTTCAGCAGGTTTTTAGGTGTACGCCCTAATCACTTTGCTTTGGGTTGAGCTCAGAGTTTCGTCTCCTCACCCGCTCATGAAATCCAGTTTCATCCTGGTACTCATCTAGTTCAGTTTCGCCTAGCTAGTTATAATGAGTCGAGTTTCGCCTCATTTTTTGTTTTCATACCTTGGACATTTATTAGTGTTTGTTTACTGAACCCTTTATCAGTTTTCGTTTACCGAGTCTCTTTGCGGTGTTTGTACTACATCCCTGGTTGAATTCAGTCTCTTTTGTTCCTTGGATTCTTCTATCAGTTTTCGTTACTGTTTATCCATTGATCTGAGACCAGCAGGTGCTCTGAGAAACATGCGCTCTCATCACTTTGCTTTGGGTCGAGTTTCGATCTCGTCGCCTGTGCATGAAATCCGGTTTTATCCTGGTACTCATCTAGTTCAGTTTCACCTAGCTAGTTATAATGAGTCGAGTTTCGCCTCGTTTTTGTTTTCATACCTTGGACATTTATCAATGTTTATTTACTGAACCCTTTATCGGTTTCCGTTTACCGAGTCTCTTTGCGGTGTTCGTACTGCGTCCCTGGTTAAATTCAGTCTCTTTGTTCCTTGGATTCCTCTATCAGTTTTCGTTACTGTTTATCCATTGATCTGAGACCGGCAGGTGCTCTGAGAAATATGCACTCTCATCACTTTTGCTATGGGTCGAGTTTCACCTCGTTACCCGTGCGTGAAATCCAGTTTCATCCTGGTACTCATCTTGTTTAGTGTCGCCTAACTGGTTATTGGGTCGAGTTTTGTCTCATTTTGTTCCTCACTCCTTGGATTCTTTTAGTTCCTTCATACTGTCTATCTTAGGTTGAGATTAGCAAGTGCTCCTAGAATCACGCACTATAGCCACTCTGCCCCGCGTACTTTTCCAGAGTTTAGTTTCGTCTACTCTTTTAAGTTTTAGTTCTGTTTCAATTTTGTTAAAATCTGTGTTACAACTTTATTCTGACACATGTCTTGGGAGGTCCAATGTTCATTAAACCCTCTGTTTGCTAAATCCAATTTCGTTTGGCATCTTCTAAATCCCACGCCAGCTGACATTCTTTGTCTTTGGGGGAGGGTTCTACTTCTTCTTCAAGAGTGTAAATTTTCAGGTTCTCTTGTATTCAATCATCTTCAACTCTGAACGCTCGAAAGTTGTCACTTTTCTCACTTATCATGTTTAAGATGATTGAATAGGGGCAGTTGTTGCACCCCAAAATTTACCCTCTCAATTTTGGCTTATGTTTCACCATACATACTCATGCATTTTTGAGATGGGATCAAGGTATCTCTGGCTCTCATAGTTTTCTTAAAATTTTGGAAATTGGTTTTATTGTCAATCAGTCTAAGGAGGCTCTCATATCTTATCTCTTTCGATTATTCAAACTACAGAGGCTTTTCATGCCTCAAAACATCTCAACTTGTCTATCATTTCATCTGAAGATTGAAGACTGCAAGTATTTAAATGTGCAAATTAGGGTTTCTATGGACTCTGAGGATCTCATCATACTCAATGGATATTCTCCATCCAATTTCATCAATGTCAGAGGCTATTAGGGTTTATTTCCCCATATGTGATCAAAGATTCAAGTTGAATCAGAGCAGTTTGCTCTCAAGGTCAACATTTCAAAGTTCTAGTTCAGAAATTCATAACTTCTTCTTTATTCAACATTTTTTTGAGCAATTTCTTTAGACATATGAATCTCACTGACATCATCTCCAACTTCTCTTTTCAAGTATGAAGATGATTATGCATGGAAGATCCTCAATAATTTGAATATTTTAGAGGTCATTTTGTAATTTTTGGCTTAATTCTAGAAGAATGTTGCCAAACTTGCAAAGATCGTGACTTCCTCAATTTTCAGTAATTTGAGACGAATCTTTTTACACAGTATCACATATGAGATTCTCTACAAGTTTTCTTTCAAGAATCGATTTCAGGTCATGCTTAGAAAGTCACGAAATCACTTGAAATGTTATAAGCCATTTTTATGGTTTAGAAGTTTTTCAATTTATCTGATTTACAATTCATATCCGATTCAATTCCCATTCAAGCCCAATGCTAGTTCCAGGTTTAAGGTTCCATCTTTCTTTATTTTTTAATTCAAATTTATAGTCAATTTGTTGTCTATTTCTTTTATTCAAAAATCTCCAAAAAAAATATTATATATGTTTCATTCTTCATTTTTCATTTCTATTAAAAAAAATCTAAACATGATTTTATACTAACTTTTAGTTTTAATTTTAATTTTAATTCAAAATGAATTATTATTATTATTAAAATTAATTTTTAATATAAAATATTTTATAATTCATTTAAGTCATTTTTTTGGTCATTTTAAGAGTCTTTTTATTACTTGCATTTTTGTTATAATTGTTTCTTTTTACTGACAAATCTTCTTTTATTATTGTTATTATTATTTTGTGCCATTCTTATTTTTGTCATAATAGAAAAAGAAAAATGCAAATTGCATGGATGAAAGAAGCATTCCACAGCTTTCATGCTGCAAGAGTAACAAAACCAAATTTTCAACTACAATCCAAAACTTCATCCAAGTTCCAATCTTGGCCCTTCATTCAAACTTATCAATGGACACAAATCCTTAAGACAAAATGACACGGATCTGTACCAAAATCCCTCCCAAACTTCATAAATTTTTTCATCCAAATTCGAAGTTCCCACCTAAAATTTCAATTTGTTGAACTATAAAATAATGCTCATCCAAATTATGCAGAAAATATAGAAAAACCTCAGCTCAAATTTCTCTCGAGACTCCCTTGAGTGTCTCTAAGCAAACTTCAATAACCTTCATCTTTGTATCTTGAATCTTAATCCATCTGCACCCGTTTTTTTCAACCTTTGCTCCCCCCATCATGAATCTATCTTCAACCTTCATCGCTATCATCTTCGACATCTTTAACGAATCTGCATCTTTCATTCTTCAACCACCTCAGAATAATCACAAAAATCTCATAAACTCTCTCTTTGCATAACTGCTATTGTTTCGTCTTCAACATAACTTTCTTAGAACCTACTTCACCATACCAACCGTTTCATAACGATCATCTGAATCGCATCTCTATCTTCACATCGATATTCATCAATCCTATGAACAACTTCACTAATCTTAATCCACCTTTGTCATTGCAACATCAATCATCTTCCTACAACAAACACATCAACTCTGTAAATCGCGCATTCTCATCTTCAACACCTTCAATCATCACGACACCGATTCAACAACAAAGATCACAACATTACGATGCCAGAATCCGAGATGAAAACGGAAGAAGAAGTTTAAAAATAAGATTTAGAGGAATCCAATAGAACCTGGGGAATTGGAAAGGCAAATTCTTGAAACTCTCACGATGGCGTCCGAGCAGAGAACGGCAAGTCGATGATGAAGGTAGTGGCGGATTTAGGTGAATGAATCAAAGATAAAGAAGAAGGGTTGATTCGAAGTAGAGAAGTTAAGAAAGCGAGCGTTAACCGACAAACTGCAATCAGAAGTAAAACTTGGATGGATGAAGATGATGAGACGGAGGCGACCAGTGCCGTTATTGTTTCTCAGAGAAGAGAGGATGCGTCGTGTATGTGCTTGAAGAAGAACGTGAAATCGTGATTTCACGATTGAGTCTGAAGCACCACAAATATTCCTATTCCAATCCTAATGCCTTTCTAAACCTTTTTTTCATTTTATTGTTTTAATTTTGTTATATAGTTTTAATTCAATAATTGAAAACTAACTGGATAATTTGGTGATGGATCGATGTTGTAGGTTAATGTGCTGAGTACTACCATTCCATAGGCTCATTCCTTTTTTGGCACAACCTTGGCCTTGCAAACAGAAAAAAAAAACTGTTTGTGGATCTGAATCCCATGGGCCTAACGCCCATCTTTTTCTATGCACCACCAGAATCATAACTTGCATCTCCTGAGTTAGAGTATTTTTGTTTTTTTTATCTTATAATTTTATCAATAATTTTTTACATGATTTTAGCTTTCTTTTGATAACAAATGTGATGATTAATATTTAGATAATAGTCATGATTTTAGAATTTCTCGATTTCTTATGCATAAAAATGTTAAGGATGCATTTGTTTCTTTTGAAGATCTAATTGAATTTTTGGGTATTCTTTCTTGATTCTTTCTGCATGATTTTTTTGTGTGATGTCGTCGAGTAGAAAGGACTTAGTTGAGAAATTTCAAGAGGTTTTCGAAGTGAACAAAGAGCATAAAATTCATCAAATAATTCTAAAGGAGTCTTTTGTAGATTTTTTTCCTTATTGTTTGAGCAGCTTTGAAGAGGTAACAGACCTTTCCCTGTTAGGTTTATTGTGCAATATACGAATATGCTCGAGATTTTGATTGTGATTTATTTTCACATCGTTGATGCCTCGAAATCTATTCTGAGCATTTGATTTCAGACTCTTTTCCTTAATTTGGGGATCTTTCGCGAAGATCGTCGGGTTTCTTTGTTTTGATACGTTTTGTTACAGAATGATATTCGTTTGGTATTTTCTCTCGTTTACCTCATTTCAGCATTTACCGCTTTCTAGAGGTCATGAGAAGTAGGATTTTTACCGCTTTCCTTGCCATGTCAAGTAGGAATAGAGATGTATGACGAGGACTTCCATTGCTGATCATGTCAGGAATCCCTCTGTTTTATTTAAAGACCTGTTTAAGGAAATTCTGTCGGTATGCTAATTGTGATTGTTTAAAACCCTACCTTCGGAGTAGGTATTAGGCATGTGTGTTTATATTTGTGTATGCATTATATTACAGATAATAAGTCCTCAAAAGGAGGCGAGCGGGGAAGGTCTATAATCGACCCCCGCACATTCTAGTCCGTGTCATCCTTAGCTCATGTGGTACGTCGATGCTTCAGAGTCGTGTAGATCATATGTATAGAGTCCGTAAAGTGGGTAAGGTTTATGCGATCAAACCCCCACGCTTTGTCAGGAGTTTGCATTGTTCAATGCTGACACTCCATGATCGTTCATATTGTCTTATGTCGTCTACCTCGATCTTCTATATCTTTGTTAGGTGCCCAGTCGCTTTTAACGTCACATTTATCTTATTTCATCTGTCTCCCGCTTATTTGCTTTGGGTGATCCGCTCCCCTTAGCTAAAGCATTTCTCTTCATATCCCCCATCCCCTGAGTCAGTATACCCCGATTGCATGCTTTTTCCAAAGCACTTGTTTGTTTACTTGTTTGGTATTCACCATGCTCCCTTAGGATTGCTCGTGTAGGGTTAGTCCTCGAGCTAGACACTAGGATATATATACATAGGGTAGGAATTCCCCTTTTCACCCTCAACCTTAGGATCAATCATTGTATGATAACATTAGGGCTAGAGATTAGGATAGTCTCCCTTAGTTGTTTTCTTTTCCTTTGCATTGTTGCATCTTAAAACTAAAACTTCTTTTTGGAAAATCATAAAACATCTCTAATAAACTTAAATCCTTCTTCAAGGTAAAAAATACAAACCAATCTTAATTGCTTTGCGCCTTCCTGCTTTGTTTTAAACCTTGCCAAACTGATGTTCTGTCATCCTCGCCATGATATTTTGTTTGCCGATGTTTCACCATCGCATGTGTTTGTTATCCTACTTTGATTCTCAATATCATTGTTAGGTGTGTTGTTTTATTATCTGGTTTATCGATGTTTCACCATCTTTGCCATGTCATCTTGCCATCTTTTAGCCGATGTTTCGCTATCGCATATTATTTTAACCGATGTTTCGCCATCGCATATTCTTTTAGTCGATGTTTTTCCATCGCACATTCTTTTAGCTGATGTTTCGCCATCGCACATGTTTGTTATCCTACTTTGATCTTTAATATCATTGTTAGGTGTGATGTTTTCTCATATCATTTATTGATGTTTCGTCATCTTTGCCATGTTACTTTGTTATCATTTAGCCTATTTTTCGCCATCGCATTTATTTGTTGTTTTATCTTATGTTTTGCCATATTGACTATTTCCTTTGTCTTTCTTAACTAAAAAACACAAAGCAACCAAAATATATAAGCCGAACTACAATTGCTATGATTCCTTAAAAGGGATACGTAGGCACTAGGGTAAGGCCCAAGCGAGCACAACTTTTATTTTCCCTACATTATTTTCTCTTTTCTTTTTGCATGCATTCCCTCCTTGCATCTTCCTTTTTCCTTGTACAGCTTAGATATAGATTTTCGCACCCATTAGATTAGAACAAACAAGAGTGGATACCGTAGAGCACTACAGGCGTGTGGGGTGCTAATACCTTCCCTTCACGCAACAGACTCCCTTACCCGATCTCTCGGTCGCAAGACCGTGATTTCACCCTCTTCAGGTTTTCTCGATGTTTACCTTTCCCTTCTTATGGGATAAAAGACATTTTGTGGCGACTTCATTGAGTTTATATCCGATGACGGTTCGACCGGTAGTTTCACTAGTCTCGTCATTATGGGAGATAGTTCGTTGTTGAGATTTGTTACTCCAATGGATGGTAGTATCGTCATTATAGGAGATAGTTTGTTGTTGAGATTTGTTACTCCAATGGATGGTAGTCTCGTCATTATGGGAGATAGTTCGTTGTTGATATGTTTACTCCGATGGATACTAGTCTCATCATTATGGGAGATAGTTCGTCGTTGAGACTCACTTTCCCTAAAGAAATTTGTATGTTTCCAGTTATAAGTATTGATGCTGGCCATTTGTGACCTACCCTAATATTGTGTTTGCTGGTATTATCCTACCATTTCTTTCCCCCTGTGGGTCTCCATTACCTTTTTTGCTATCTTCTCAGTGAGTGGATAGTTTATAGTTAACTGTCGACCACTATTATCCTTTATTTTCTCTCCTTAATATTTGTGTTGATGTTAATTTGTACCGCCTTGGTATTTACCCCAATAGAGTCGAGTCATCTGTTCACCAGTGATTTATTTTCATGGTCTAATTTTATTTTGAACTTTTATTTTCTGTTTCCTCAGGGGTGTCCCATGTAACCTTTGGATTTGTTTGTTTGCATGCACAATCATAAGCATTGCATGGCATATTAGGGCCAAAAATATGGCTTGTTTTATATTGAAGTATATTCAATTGCGTCGACACAAAGATTTTAACCTTCGTATCTCCAGATAGAAGACACTTCAATAAGGGCATCTGTTGTACCCCAATTTTTGCCCTTAAGATTCCTCTATCATCTCATATCAACTAAATCACAACAAGATCACACTAGGGTTTGACTCTTCTCCTTATCTTTAGGTTTGCTCATGAGGAATCACCAAGTACCTTGATTTGTATATTGTGATCATATATTTTTGTATTGATTAACTTTTAACTAACAAATACAATGAATGTATGCTCTAATTGATGATACTATAGATGAGGGCACAACACATTTCATCAGGTGGATTCATAGGTTCATAAGTTTATTTCCATGCCTTCTTCAATAAAGCATCATTGAGATTTAAGCTTCATTATTGAAGATACTTTAAATTAATATCATGACAAGGTTTATTATGATTCATCATGCCTCAATTTGTCAAAGAAAATCAAAAGATACAAGGGTTGATTGAAGAAGTTTAACCTAATTGGACAAATTCTTGATTCTTTGATCACAAGTACATAACTCTCTTAATCCTTAATATTTGGAGGTGGTTTTTATTGTTATGGGTTCTTATTATCATCCACAACAACCTCTATTCACTTGGAAAAATTTATTGTGCAAGAAAGTTTGTCATAATTGAAAAGGGTTTCCAAGTCATTTTGGTGCTTTAGGAGCTAGGGTTTTGGACTTCTAAGGACTATATCTTGCTCATATTTTGAGATTTTTGACTAATTCCAAAGACATGCTTCTCTTTAAAGGGCTATCAACTAATCACTTCAAGATTTTCAAGAAAATTTGGTGTGGAAGATTCCTAATAACGAAGAAAGATTACAAGTCCTCTAGATAGGCCATCAAATTCCCTTATGTGACTTTAAAAGATCATAACTTGGTCAATTTTTATCTCCTTGATCCCATTTTTTCCCACAATGATCTTAAGGATATGAACATTAACTTTTCTTTCATGTGCAAAGCTTGAAAACGAGTGTAAGATGCCCTAAGAACTCAAAAGATTATAGGTCATCCCGTGAATTTTCACCAATTTTACAAGGCCATAAAATTTTCAATAATTGGTATTTTTGAGTGATTCAAGTTTCAAAATGCTCTTTGGGATGTGCACTTCAAGCTAGCATCAATGATCAAAGCTCAATTTTTGGAGAAGACCTTGTTTGAACTCAAAATATTATAGGTCACTATTGAAGAAAAACTTAGAATTTTTCTAAGTACAAAAAGTCAACATCTTTTTCTCAACTTTGACTTATCATAACTTTTAGCTCAAGCATCCAATTGATCTAACTCTTTCCACATTGTAATGTTTGTGACCTTACCTTTCAAATTCTTCAAGAATCATGCCCTAAGACTCCTTGATATGTGAACCACATGGATTCAAAGATGGTACCTTGAAACTGAAGTTTCCTTCCAAGTCAGAATTTGAAATTCATAATATTGCTTCTAATCACCAATTTAGCACGCATTTTTGATTTGAACATGTTTAACAAAGTTCCCAAAGTTGAATTAAGGATCAAAATTCAGGAGTTGCTTGATCTTTGATGCACATGGGGTCACACTTTTTTCACTTTCGAGCTTGATCCAATTTCCCTCCAAACGTCAAATTTTCTCTGAATTCTCTGCACCATTCGCTTCCCTATAATTAGAGGACCTCACTTCTCTGATTTTCTCAAGCTTGAACAGCCAAAATCACTCTGTCAAACTCCCTCTATAACTCACTTTTCTGAGATTTCGAATTCCTCTTTTCTCCACTTTTCAATCCAATTTCTTCATTGATCATTCATCCTTGAACTTCCCTGAAGCTAACAGAAGAAGAATCAATCCTTG